TGAGGCAAGACCAAGGTCCTCCCCATATATGTAGAATGAGCAAGGTACCCCCCCATAGGGAGTGAGCTCCAAAAAAAATAAAAGTTCATGCACTAGGGATAAATACGGGTTCCATTGCTAGTGGCCCTAAAAACTGCCCAAGCCCCTCAAATGACACCCAAGTACAGGGGCCTCGTTCAGTCCTATGCTGCTTCCCCAGCTGTCAGTCTGGAGTCTGTGAGCTCCCACTTGCTCAGGTCAGCTGTTTCTGTGGGTTTCCCCAACATGGTCTTGACCCCTTTGCTCATATTATCACTCCTCCCTCTCTATGACTGGAATCCAGGACTATGCTATTTCTACTGATATATAACAGACTTTTTTTCTACAAAGCTCAACAAGGAGGTGTTTCCATGTCAGGGATCACCAAGGCACATAAATGTAGCTCTGCTTGCTTTGAACTTTAGTAGTGAGACTATTTGTCAGTTCTAAGTTATTTTTATGATAGATCCATCAGAGAGAGAGATAAGATATTCCAGTTTTATGTCTCCAAAATTTTGCTAAATATTTATTAGTATGGGCCAGCTCCTGTGATCAGAATGGTTTATATTGGGAGCAATGGGGATATAAAGCAAACATAATCGCTGGGCTCCAGAGTTTGCACAAGTCAGCGGGGGCCCCTGGGTGTTTGAAGGAGAAAGTACTAATAATGCATCTTATTCCTCCCATATGTCCCAGCTGTTACCACATCTCCTGGGAATCATCTTTACTGAGATTCCCTCAAACGTTATGTGTACCTCTACTGTGCTCACACGACCTGGTTGACATGCTCCTGGCACAACATGATCACAGTATTTAGTCTCCCTTACAAGACAACACTTGTTGTTAAAGAGGAGAAACGTCTTCTTGCTGTGTGAAGCATATGCACAGATCCCTCGGAAGCAGAAACTACAAGTCGGGGCTGTTGGATCGTTAGGCTTATAGAGTTAGAGTGACTTCATCAGAAGTCTCTTTAGAGTCCACACGGATGGCATTTCCCTTGCATTATTAAATCCTTACTAACATGCCTTTAATGCAGCGCTATATAGAATCTGAATCTTCATTAGAATCAAATGAAAAATAAACTTGCAATAATCCCTGCCACCAGAAAAATGCCCCATATCTATGCTCTCAGCTTGGATATCTCCTCCTAATTTTCTGGTTCACAAGCCCAATATTTCTATTTGACCTTCAAACTTAAAATGCCCAGCTTTATATTGTAACAGTTTCACTGTCAAACAAGACACACCATACACTGTTTCTTTCTACAGTGATAAAAATGTTCTAACTTGACTGTGGTGACAATTACAAAACAAATTTTCTAGCACTCGGGGTCGGGGAGATAGGAGAAATATCAGGAGTTGAAGGCCAGCCTCAACTATGTAGCAAGTTTAAAACCAGCCTGAGCTCCTCCCGCAGACCTTGTCTCTGGAAGACAAAAATGAAAACTGAGAGCTATTAAAGCTATACATTTAAGAAGATGAGCTTTGTGGGACATACCCAGAGTTTTCAGTTAAGATGCTTAGAGGTTTGTCCATGTTGGAACACGTGCCAATATTGCATTCCTTTCTGCAACTTTAGAAATCTCAATTCTATGCATACACCACATTCTGCTTGTCCCTTCAGAAGAGACTGAGCATTTTTGTTATTTCTGACCTAATATTTAGGGAAGAGAAAAGGTGGGGCCCAATCTAGGTTAACCTATATTATATAGAATAGCAGCTTTCAGGCTGTACTTAGCCTTGAAATAATCCATTCTGCAAAGCAACTGTCTTAACATGAGCTATTTCACTTTGAGTATAAGTGACAAGGAAGAATGATGCTACATCTTGTATAGACAAGTAAACAACGACCACCTGCTAGCACTCTAGTAAATGACAATACTTGTCAACAATATATCAAATCCCATCAGAAACACTAGACACAAGAGTTTATCAATAACACTAGATGCAATTTCCCTATCTGGGACAATATATGAAGGAACAAGCTGACCCAGTCCTTGACATGAGAGCCTTATCCAGGAAAATTGCCACTGTGAAGGACGTCTGCTTCTGTTCCTAGGTTCCAGCTTGAGTATAGTTTCTTCTGCCTGTGACTCTCAGTTCACTTCAAACTGATACTCAGCATAGTCTGCCATTAAGGAAAGCCATTACATTTTTTTTTCAGTTTACATTGAACAGCTTGTGTGTCTGAACAGCTGTAAACTTACAGGTCACAAGGCTTTTAACTGATCTACTACAGACTTTTCCTCACATCTAGATCAGATCTTTGCTCCTAAGCTTCTCTGAAATCAGCAGCCTTTTCACAATTTTCCTAGGTATTTAGCACACACACACACACACACACACACACACACACACACACACGGTGGATAGATGGCAGGCTGATGGGAGCTGTTGCTATCCTAGTATTAGAGGTCTGCCTCTTTATAGTGTCCAGGTGAAAAGTGAGGCCTTTTCCTTGGTC